AAAACCTTGCCAGGAAAACTGCAGGGACTTGTCCAGGCAGTCTCCAAAGAATCGGACATGACTGAATGGATTAAAAAAAAAAAAAAGCTTGTGGGCTTACCAAAACTGTGACTGAGACAAGCATGCAGTGCAGGAAAGATGCGCGGATGGAAGTGGTAAATAAAATAATGGGCGGGTCACACATGGAGTAAAGTAAGTGTTGGATTCTGAGTGCGCAACCTAGATCCCTTGCAGGTTGGGCTGAGGTCCAATTTCTCTTACATTCAGGTGGAAGTATAGAGAGCTGTTTGCAATTTAACAGTGTAAAAAGGATGACTTTTCTTGTTCTGTTAAAACCCCACCTCAGTCCTTGTTTCACTGACTTGTTGAAACTAAAGAAGGGAGTCCTGTTATTTCAAGGTTTGGCTTTTTGTAAGTAAACACACACAGACAAGCACCCAAGAAAATAATCTGTAAAACCAAATTGCTAAGTATGCTATCCATTTTTGTCTTCTTTCTGTAAATCTCAAAATGGCTCTCTAGCTTTGCCAAAGGGTCAATAGTTATATACATCTGGGAAGAGACTTATCTCTGCCCTACTTATAACCCTTGACTGGTATAACATTTCACTGCTGTCCCAATACTCCTTTTGAGCTCTATTCATACTAAGGACCTCCTTTACCATGTAATTTATGGTGACTCACCAGTTTTTCTGCATGTCTGTAAATTCATATGTGAAGAATGCAACAACTGCAGTATAGTACTCCAGAAACAAGAAATCACAGTATTTGGGAAATAGTCAGGATATTTTTAATAAGCAGCATAAAAGGAATAATTTATTTCATACTATAACAGTTTGAGAAGAAATAAATGCCTTTTTTGAGATGTTTATCTTCAATAATAATTCAAAAAATATAGAAATTGTCGTATTAAATTTAATCTAATTAAACTGTTATAAATGTAAAATCAGGAAAAAAAAAGTTTCCCCATATTTACAAATTATTAATTCACTGATTGGATCATGCAACCCCAAAAAAAAAAAGGAAAAATAAGGAAACCTAAAGCTTCCACATTAACAATGCAATCCTATCCATATCTATTCAGGAATAACCCTGACTGATTTTGGTGGAATTTACCTCCAAATGAAAGTCTGTACAAAGCTTTATGGTTTCCTTTTTCAGACAAACATTAAGCATGTACATATCAAGTCAAGCTAATAAATTAGATTTAGCCTTAATCCTAACTACTGATCACTACCTCCTATCAGAAAGGTCTTAACAGTGCACTCAAGTTCAAACCAATAATTACTTGCAAACTTCTGAAGTTTCATCACAATTGTCCATTATATTGTAAATTTATCAATGTTTCTATTAGAAAAATGAATGATGACCAAATGTAGTAGGTGAACTATTTTGTGTATTTCCTGAATACACTGCATTCCATATGGTGACATATTTAATGCATTTGTTGTGCTCAGGGAACCCACTGACTGTGCTCAGGGATCCTACTGATGGACAGGTAAACATCATTTGGCCAGTGCACATTGCATACCCTCCATACCACACCCTGAAAGAGTTTGCAGAAATCATTTCTGGTAGCCATCATGTGTAGATATATTACTGATATATTTTAATATTAGATTGTAGAAACAGAGCAAGGCACACATACATACACACATGCGGAAACACAAACATACAACGCATATACATTAACTACACAGGATGGAGTTATCTGACAATATGAAATCAATCCCAGACAAGAGTACTCTGAATTTGGCCATGTACAAGGATTCAAATCAAACATCACGGCCTGGGTATGCCATCTCAAATAGTATCTCTTATATTGCTGGGAAGAACTTGACAAAATCAGAAAGACATCTGTTTAGTTAGAAAAATAACCACAAACACATAAGGAATAGATGGCACGTAATCTTCTCAAGTTGTGTCAAAATCGTAAAACAAGATTAATTTCTAATTGCAAGAAATTAGTGTAGACCTCAGAAATTGTGCATAGCATTCATATTAAAAAAAACCTAGATTTTTAGCCTCAGGTCAGTACCAACCAAAGAGTACTATGGAATATTGAGTCCAGTATTAAAGATGTATTTTTAGCATTCTTTCTGGAACTGGATACAAGCTCTAGACTGTATAAAAGGCAGGAAGACAAATGTGCAAGAAACTATATATATTCCCTTCCCCGTGCCTGCTTTCCCAACCAAACAATCAGAGCCACTATTTTTCTAATAAGAGAGAATTATTTCAGCTACTCTGAAATGCCATATAAATTGCATAGTTCTATGATGCCCACTGCTTTCCTTAGAAGAGGCCTTATCTGGTTGAACTTAAGCATTGATTAACTCAAAAACTGAGTCTAAACTCTTAGGAGAAGTATATTATAGAAGATGACTATCTTGCATATAAAAAGATCTAAATTTTCCCAATTTTATTAAGCACCTCACCTAATTCTATTTATATCTTTCCTAGTGTGCTAATATAAAGCCTAGTTCATAGTCATAAAACTGTGATTCATGATCTCATGCTGTCCCTTCATCCCCCACATTCTGCTGCTGTCCTTCTGCTGCCATCTTTCTGTACGACATCCTGCTGTTTCCTATTTTGTTTTGTGCTCACATACTTAAATCTATTTTAAACTAGAGATATACAGTATTTGGATCTGAAGTGGGTAAGAGTGCTTCAGAACCAACATGGGCTCCCTCCTGACCTACGGCTGCTCCTTAATATTTCACTTTTTTCAGGACTTGTTCAGTAACTGTACAGGCTCAGGAAAACAAGTGTTTGACTTAAGGAGGTATTAAGGATACAGTGACAGACGGTGAGACGTGTTCTCACAGTGCCATGTTTGTTATGCCTGTTATTTGCTTTGTACTGGTTAGTGACCATAATAAAAACTGAATGAATTAGAAGTAGTGGTTTTGCTACAACAAAACCAGTGAAATATGCCTTCATTTCACATTGTCTAGGACAACTTCAAGCAGATAATCCCAATCTTGGAATATCTTTTCATAATGATTACTCGAGGTGACCCTGCTAACAAGAACCTGCTATAAATTAGAACTATTAAGTTGCATGTTTTCAACATGTTCTAGATGAAGATATTATAGTTGTGAAAGATATATAGTCTTAACATGAAATAATTTAAGTAAATAATAGCTGGGGGGGAAAGCCAAGTCCGTATCACCGCCATGTTCCTTGGGACCTTCCATAATAGCTCTTGAGTCTGATCTCATTTGCTCAATGGCATAGAATGTAAAAGAGATTGGGGTCTCACCACATCTTTTTATTCCATAGTCAACTGTGAATCAAAGTAGAGAAAGTAATGACACACAGTTGTCAAATTCCAGGAAGGAGAAGGCACTTGAACTATATTGAACAAATAACTATATTGGTCTTATTAGTCCACTGGGCAAGATCCTGTAAATCAACAGACATTGAGCAAAATAAAATAGATACCTGTTCTCACCTTCATTCTGCCTATAATATGTAGCCTGAAATCCTACACCAGATTATTTAGGATTAGGGCCCATTGAAGTCCATGAACTTATTTCTGTAAGTCAATTAATTGGATATATTAATATTGTTATTTAAAAATGCCCTAATGTAAGAACTTACAGTTTACCCAGGTAGAAGGTAGGCATCTCTTAGACAAGATATTCTCTTCTGTCTCTCATACAAGAGAATGTCTCCTTTATTATGCTACAGCACATTTATATATAAAGATCACAGAACAAAGTTTCTTTTTCAAATACTGCTCTTCCTGAATGCCAAAATACATTTATTAAAATGCTTGCAACAATTCTATGGCCTCTGGAACAGTTCTCCCCTCTTCTTGCTTGCATGGCTTGGAAATCCAACAGTTGACAAGCCTTCCCAAAAGGACTTGATGTGGTTAAGCAGGGGATACATAGGAGGAGCTTTAGGTACAAAGGATATAAGCCCTTTGCCCCAGACTGGCCAAAAATATAGGACTGTTTTAGAACTGATCTACTCTTATCCTACTATTGCTTGCAGAAGAAGAAGTATGTAGTAGTAGTAGTAGTAGTAATAATGCCAAATCCAGTCTAAACATCTGGCTGACTGTGACCAACAATAGTAATAGTAATAATAATAAACATCTGCCTATCCCAGGCCCTTGGGAAGGACTTAATAGGTGGATAAAAATGCCAAATCCAGTCTAAACATCTGGCTGACTGTGCAACCAACCGTAATAATAGGATAGGAATTGCACTGAATATTATCTTTCCTGGATAAGTGAGCCAAGCAGAGGGTAGAGTTTGCCAGTCACAGATAATTTGTTCTAACTTTTATGCAGTTCTAATACTGTTTACTTTAGCAGAATCTACTACTTGGTAACTATGCCAGACTACACCAAGTTTTTTACTTAGTAGTAGAAGCCCCCAAGTTTTAATAAGATTTTAAAGAATGACTGATAGATTGTGTCTTCTGTTCACTAAACACTAATCTGTGGTTGTCAGTCATGTAAGAGCATATAATGGATTTCCTAATTAAGGCTTGTTTTACTCATTTAAATTAGATTTAGCAGGCTTTGGGTCAAGCTATAAACAAAGTACTAATATAAAATAATGTTATTCAAATAAATCTTAACATTTTGCATAATCTAGGAACTGAACATCATAAACATCATCATCTTCATTCAGAAGAAAAAACAGGAGAAAGAGGTCTAAAGTAAGACTTTGGATTCGGTATAAACTCATTAAGAGTACAAAATATAGCCCTTTCTCATATTCATAAACAACAACTCACAATCATTGAAACAGAGTTCCAGAAATAGTCAATTCCTTTTAGCACATCAATTAGCAGAGAGAGCTGTCGCTCTCTTTTGTTTTCTCGGTTCTGGTATCTTTATGAAGCTGTTGACCTTTATCTTCAGTTATCTTGCCTTGATCCATAACTTTAGGCATTTGTTCTTTGGTTTTCTTCGGATTCAATAGTACCATGAATTCAGCTTGTTTTTCTGCATCAACAACCTTGTTTTTAATCCCTGCATTGCTGGATGGCCTAAAAGGCAAATGAAAAAAATAATAGTAATAAGGTTACCACATTTTAGTTGTGAATTTTTTTAATATAAAGATCAATCAGTTGGTTCCAGTCTTAACATGTGTTTGATATACTACCACAGTTTATGAGTCTTTATTTATTTATTTACCAGATTTGGCCTTCTCATACAACTTTCATCTAACTTGCCAAACTGAACAGAATGTTAACACCATCTCAAACATTTATTAACACAATATAAGAAATGATCGTTTAGTGTCAGGATGCAATATTACAGCAAAGTTTCACCATTCAATAGCTAGCTTTTCGTCATGTACATAAATCAGTGAATACAACCAACCATCTTAGTGGTCATTTTTTCCTAGCACCTAACAAAGATACTACAAGTCTGCCTATGAATTTCCGCTTAATAAAACATAAGTAGGTAGTATGCAAATATACAGAAGTTGGCAGCAGTACTGGTTATAATGTGAATTTAAAGATGGCTGGACTAGAATTGGTGGTATTCAGTTAGTTGCCATTTGTCCTGGTGCTCCAGCCAAATTTAATGTAAATCATTCATATTCCTTTATGAAGTTAGCTCCTCTGAAGACTTTATTATGCCAACTGATTATAAATAAACTCCCATCAGTATTTGATATAGGAAAATGATAAAATAATTTTTGAAAAAACAGTAAATAGAAGTAAAATTTTGGAACGCACACATTATCTAACAAGTCGATAACCAAATAATGAGAAGTTAACAATCTCTTACTGAAAAGAAAACATTTACTTTTAAACAGATTTTTGTTTTACCCCCATGGCTAAACTACCTTAGTGATGAATTATAGTATTAAGGATGCATTTCTATATACACTTATCTGAGTGTTCCAGATTACAGGAGATAAAAGTGACAACTTTTTAATTTGCAGCCCACCTTCAGAGTCAACCTTCTTCAGTGGATTTTAATAAATGGGAAATTTAATGGTTCTTCATTTAAAGACATGAAGGTCTTCCTTTTTATTTATTTTAAGAGGGGAGGGGCCATTAGCTGGTATATGGCTGAAATATTTAGCTGTTGACTATTGCCTCTATCTCTGTCTCTTTTTTGGTGCAATAGTTTTATTTATTTATTTAAAATATTTTCATGCCACTTCATTTATTTCTTTTTTCAGAAGAAACATCTCTATGTATCAACTTAAACAAATATAAAGATGGTTTCATGACTGTTTAGCACTTTAGCACATTAAAAGCTATTATATTTGACTATTATTAAAATGACATTTTAATTAGCTGAGAGATCTATATAATAAAAAATGAACAATCATATTTAAAGAATTTAGAACCCTTATTTTAAGAGAACCCAAATCTTGGATATGGCAGCAATCATATTCAGAATTTTATGTAAATTGTATATAAATAGTTTCCAGATTAACTTGAAGCCAACATCATGTAAGAAGTTTTTCACATACAGTGTGAAGCTGTTTGGGACATTTATGTGCACTTCCATAATTTAAGCTGCCATTCCTCTATTGAAGAAATTAAATGCAATTTCCAGAACAAAGCATGAAGTATTTTAGTGGCAGTTATCATATATAAAGCCAGCTCAATGTATGCTGAAAATTTTCCCTATGTAAATACGTTACATCTATATTAACCTTACCTGTCCTGTATGTAATTTTATAGAAACACACTTATATTCATACGATAGATGCAAACACTAAATAAATACATAAACCACAGAAGTTCATTGGACTATTATGACATTTTGGGCAGAAGTGTATAAGGTAATGGAACTGGATGGAACACATAAAAAGAAGGGACAGTGTTAGGAATATAATGTAGATCCTTATTCTTTCTCTAACCTCAATGGTCCAAGAATCCGTTATAATTCTGATAATGATGGTGTTAAATGTCAGAGTAAGACATCAGTCATTCATATCATGAATGAGAATGAAGGAAGATCAACCTGCTATATATTGCTGAGACTGACTGACCAGGCTGGGAGACCAGACCTCAGGGACTGCTTCCATCCATATCAAACTACCTGTCCATTAAGATCTGCTTTGGAGGCCATTCCCAGGATCCAACCAGTCAGGCAACTGATGGCGCAAGGCATTCGTCTGTTGGGACAACCCAACTGAAACTTTCTTTCCAGAAAAAATGCCTGTCTGCTAACTTTTGATGCCATGTGGAATGTTTATTTTCCTAGGTTTGTTAGCTTGCTTTCTATAGTTTGAATATTATCTGCTTTGGTGACTGTTTCAGCTGTGTTACTGTTGTGAACTTTAAATGTATTGTTTATTGTCTGTTCTGTCTTGCAAGGTGGTCTGAGAATTCTTCTTAAACAGAATACTTAATAGCCAAATACATCCTGGCTTGCAGACATGTAAGCATTATTTGCCTAAGCCTATGGCAAAATTGTAACTATAGCAAGCATCATTAAAACACCAACTAATTTGCAATTCTATTTTGAGATCCAAACAGAGATTATTTGGCCATTTTATGGGCTACATTATATAATACAGTAGTAAAGTGCAAACACTGAAAGTACAAGGATTTTTGGCAGTTGTTCCAGAAGCCAGGTAGAATAAAAATGATGCATTTTTATTTGCTTAGAACAATAAAACCTTGCAGTCTGTTAAGTGAAGTCCTGTTGTCTTCCATGAAGAATTCTATCTTACAGGGCCATGTTTCTTCAATAAAAATGAGAATGTTATGAACAGCAAAAATGTTGCTTCTCTTCTGTAATATTCATAATCCAAACTATATACCCTGCCATCTAACACTGGAGCGTGAGGCTAATTAGTTCAGAAACTGGCCTCTGACAGGTCCAGTTAGCATTTCCAGTCTGTAATTTTTCAGACCCAAATTGTGTGGAGCATTCAGCCTTGTTTTTTGTTTTCTCCTGAAAATGGAAAGGGAAATATGTTTAACGTTCTGGTGAATGAAAGTTTGGAAATGACATGACGACAAGGCAGTTATTTTAGAAAATGCTACCTCCAAAATGCTGATTGCCCCAACACTATCAAAATGGACAAAGCCATAAATGCCAAGGTCCTTTTTATTTCACTTTGGAGGTAACTATCTTTCAAATCTCAACAGCTGGACTATTTAACACAATCGAGTGAATCAGAGTCTAATTCTTCACTGGGCTCTCCATGGGAGGCCTGCATTAGTGGATGGCAGTCATCCAACAGCTGACACACAGCCAAAGTCTGTGAAGCCTCTGTCATTTAAAATAAAAATGGATAACGGAACAATCATATTTATCACCTTCAAGGACAGGAAAACGGGAGATAAAAGTCTGTCAATAGAACACAGTTTAATGGCAAACTCCAGTGATTAAGAAGTTGTTTGTTCCAGCACAAAATCAGAAATTGCCACTCAGGGTTTCTTCAGTGCTTCTTCCTCACAAATACATATATTTTACAAAACTGCTGTTATTTATTGAAGTAATAATATTGTTAAAAATCATAAAATCTGCCCAAGGACTTTACTGCTGTTTTATTACACTGTATCTTGAACTGAAATTTGGCAGAGTTATTGTTGTTGTGCAAAATAGATTTTCGAATTCTGTAACAGAGCAACAAAGCACAACTACCCTATGAAGCCTTATTACAATGAATACGAATTGAACAAGACTGGATCAGGGCGAGTTTCAGTCAGTTCTTAATTCTTTCCATAATAGTCTCAGTGGTGTTAAACTGCACTGTGCTGCTCCAGATTAAGTATTGGGCCAAATTAAAATGATTGTTGTTATGTTAAAAAAGCTACTTGTATAAGCTATTTTTACTGGGAAACCAAGGGAAAGGGAAACGATGAATTCTCTTTCAATCTGCTGCACTCTATTGCTATGAATGATCACACAGGCAACTCTACTGACCATGTATTCACTGTCGCGGTAAGTAAAGTCCTGCTGCCTTTAAAGAGTCAAACTGTTACTTCTTTAACAGTTAGGTACTGTCCTTCTTCTTGGCAGTAGTAGGATCTGTGGTTCCCTTGCTTTTGTCCTCGCTCTGAGAGTGCCAAAACAGGCACTGTCTTCAGTCACTGCCACCAGGGAAAAGGAGCTTTGCTTTCTGTTTCTGGATTCCAGCAGGATACAGGGATATAGGGTACCCAGATTCCTTCATGAAGATAACACTGGAATGAAGCCTCATTTCCGTCATCTCCAATATGCCTAACCCAACAGACTATTACTAACTGTAAGCTCTGGGATAATTCAAATGGTGACCAGGCAGCCACAAATCTCATCCTTCCCATCCCAGTGATGCCATGCTTGTTCCAAGTAACTATGTCTGCATACCACTGATGCACCACATTATATAAATCACATACTGAACAGCCATGCCAATGGCTCCCGCTGTGCTAAGAGCTGGATGACAACCTAACCCTAGCCCTGGAAGGAGACACCAGCATCAGAGTGCTTGTTCATTACCTTCGCTTGAGGAAATAGTCCTGTGAATTCTTATTCCAAGGTTACTTGGACAAGAAAGCACAGAGGTATGTCTCTGACATCGCCCAGTTTTAAAGCTGCTTTCTGCTGTAGCCAAAAGCATTCACTTCTTTTGCAGTCCGAAGGGCGGCAGGTTTTTAAAAAAGAAGATTCTAAACTTCCAGGACATCCTGTTGTATCTTTCTAATTTGTGGTTAAGCCTAATGGTCCATGTGGAGACCGCAGATGGAAAACCTTTGTAGTTGTGTCTCTCAGACTGGCCTGTTTCCTGCAGTGTCAGTAGATAATTCAGTAGTGCTAAGATTACAGCTGAGGGAAGGAGAGAAAATCCTTTAATTGTATAAAATCATCAGATTAAGCCTTACCCTGTATGTCGTTTACTCTGTTAACTGAGTCCTCCACTATATGGAATTGTTTACTAAGTCCTGAGAAAAAAGGAACAAGAGGAAGATACTCTTCTTCCATTTTTGAAAAATGCCACAAACTGTCTTAAGTTATTCCAAATAAAATAATCGTTGTTAATGCTTATTTTTTATTGTGCTAATTTTTCCCCAGTAACCACCCT